TTTTAGAGTATTTCAAAAATGCCCTCCAGGGTAGCCACCGTTGAGGGATAGGAGATTCCAGTGTGCTACCATGGAATAACCAGTGAAATAGGTTGGGTTTCAATATAAAATAAATAGTACCGTGGGTACTGGGCTCACATGGTGTTGTTCAAAAGTGAATGATGGCTAAAATGGCAGAAAATGAAAAAAATGGATGTAATTTTTGCCGATTTTTTGTAACAAAATTATTTCATACAACTATCTTAACAGTTAAATGACTTCTTACAATGCAGGACACCTGAAATTATTTGTAAAGCTAGGAAATGGGCCAAAAGTGAATTTCCACAAAAATTGACAAAAATGGCGACCATTTTGAAAATAGGCGAGATTTTGTACCAGGTGTCATAGAGGAGTTTTCTACATTAGTGTTGAACAAAAATAACTTAAAACGGGAATCCTATTGACAGAGGCTTTAAGGCAAATGGTCCAAAAGTGGATTTCACGAGATAGATGGACAAATCAATGTTAATAAAATGGCTGAAAATAAAAAAACGATTTTTTGTAACAAAATTATTTCATATAACTACTCTTTACAATAACATGACTTTTAACAATGCAGGACACCTGAAATTATTTGTAGCTAGGAAATGGGCCAAAAGTGAATTTCGCGAGACGAAAATGGCGACCATTTTGAAAATAGGCGAGCTTTTGAACCAGGAGTCATAAGGGAGTTTTGTGTATTGATGTCGAACAAATATAACTTAAAACGGGAATCTTATCGACACAGGTTTTAAAGCAAATGGTCCAAAAGTGAATTTCGCGAGACAAAAATGGCGGTCATTTTGAAAATAGGCGAGTTTTTGAACCAGGAGTCTTAACAAAAATAACTTAATAACTTAAAAACAGGAATCCTGTTGAAAGAGGTTTTAAAAATGCTCAATTTTGGAAAATGGGCGTAATTTTCATTTGGGCACCCTCCCTTGTGAACTTTTATGTCACCAATTCTTCTCCAACTTTTTTGCTGTAAACGGTGTACGTTCGGCGGTCGGTGTTGAGCGTCTGTAACAAATGACAGGTGGTGATTTTTTGGATGTTTGTTAGATCTGATATACTGAGTGAACTGGGAATACATGGGTTGTCAGAATAATTGGGATTCCACAGACGTGTTTTCTTATGCAAATTCGGTACGCCATATGTTCTCCCTGGACTAAATTCAACATTGCTCGGTTCAAGTCGATGGCAATATCTCACAAAATGGTAATAACACAACATAGCATTCATTATGCAGTTTGTATTCACTCGGGAATATATGGATGGTCATTTTATCATTTGGATCCATTAAAAAATGTGTTACGTGTGTTGTTCCAGAAGATTTTTTGTATGAATGTCCCGCGCCCTCGTTGTTTGGGGCTACTATAGCTAGTATTACTATATCTAGTATTATGGTTTTTGAATGGAGAGAGGGGGTTAAACATTATTTCTTTGCCATTAGATCATTGTGCTCGGGATTTGTTTCATGAACGACTCTTTATACCTTTGCTTATAGTGCAGTCAGTTATGACAATAAAACCCTTGAATTGCACTTGCTATATATACAGCACCATTTTTTGACCAAAGTATCATTATTACATATATTTATGAAATCCACCGAAGTGGTGTCAAAAAGTGGCCCCAGTGGATAATAACAGGCTTCGAGAATTTTGCATGTTTCCATTGGGCCCCATGTTAATTCATCAATCTTCAAAAGACCCCCTGCAGAACAGTTCAAGGGCAATAAAGTCAATCTTCCTAGTGTGTAATCATGACTCAAATGTCTTCAAAATAAAAAGGGTTACAAGCTAGATTTTGTCTAGTTCAAAAGATATTGGTGTTTGAATTTTGGAAAATTCCCATTGACCGCCATTATAAACTACTCTCAATATGGCTTTACTAAAGGGTCATTTTCTCCAAAAGTCCACTATGGAATTTTCTGATGTTGCAGATTTCTACAGCCAATATATTGACTTTCAAAAAACCAAACAGGCACATTTCTAAAAATTTCTTATTTTTAATATATCTAGTTGTTAAGTTGCTCACGAAAACTCCATTGAGTCCCATGTTAATTTATCAATCTTCAAAAGACCCCCTGCAGAACAGTTCAAGAGCAATATAGTCAATCTTACTAGTATGTAACCATAACGTAGATGTCTTCAAAATGAGAAGGGTTACAAACTGGATTTTATCTAATTCAAAAGATATTGACGATCAAATTTTGGGAAATCCCCATTGACCGCCATTATAAACTACTATCAATATGGCTTTACCAAAGTGCCATTTTCTCCAAAAGTCCACTATGGAATTTTCTGATATTGCAGATTTCTATAGTTGATATATTTACTTTTTAAAAACCAAACAGGCACATTCCTAAAAATTTCTTGTTCTTAATATATTAAGCTAAAAATCACATACAAAAATCCCCATTGACTGCCATTATAAACTGATATCAATATGCTTTTACTAAAGTGTCCTTTCCCCAAAAAGTCCAATATGAATTTCTCTGATATTGCAGATTTCCTACTTCTATAAATCAGAAAATTTCATAGTGGACTTTTGGAGAAAAGTATACTTTATTCTTAAATTCATGTTTATAGCAGTTTATAATGGCAGCCAATGGGGATTTTCATTCAACTTGAGGGCTAAATGTATTAAAAATAAGAAAGTTTTAGAATTGTGCCTGTTTGGTTTTTTAGAAGTCAATATGTTGGCTATAGTAACCTGCAAAATCAGAAAATTCCATCGTGAACATTTTGAGAAAATGGCACTTTAGTAAAGCCATATTGATAGAAGTTTATAATGGCGGTCATTGGGAATTTTCCAAAATTCAAACACCAATATCTTTGAAACTATACAGAATCAAGCTTGTAACCCTTCTTATTTTTAAGACAAGCACGATATGTTTACATACCAGGAAGATTGACTTTATTGCTCTTGAACTGTTCTGCAGGGGGTCTTTTGAATATTGATAAATTTACATGGGACTCAATGGAGTTTTCGTGAGCAACTTAATAAGTAGATATATTAAAAATAAGAAATTTTTAAAAATGTGCCTGTTTTGTTTTTGGAAAGTCATTATGTTGGGTATAGAAATCTGCAATATAAGAAAATTCCACAGTGAACTTTTGGAGAAAATTGCACTTTATTAGTAAAGCCGTGTTGATAGCTTTTATGATGGTAGCCAATGGGAGTTTTCGTGGGCAACTCAATGGTAAGATATCTAAAAAATAATGAATTTTTAGAAATATGCCTGTTTTGTTTTTTTAAAGTCAATATATTGGCTATAGAAATCTGCAATATCAAAAAATTCCATAGTGGAATTTTGGAAAAAATGACACTTTATTATGGCCATATTGAGGGTAGTTTATAATGGCCGTCAATGGGAATTTTCCAAAATTCAAACACCAATATATTTGGAACTAGACAAAATCCAGCTTGTAACCCTTCTTATTTTGAAGACATTTAAGTTACGGTTACATACTAGGAAGATTGACTTTATTGTTCTTGAACTCCTCTGCAGGGGGTCTTTTGAAGATTGATAAATTAACATTGAACTCAATGGAAACATGGGAAATTTTCGAGCCCTGTTATTGTCCACCGGGGCTACTTTTTAACACCACTTCGGCAGATATCAAAAATACATGTATTAATGATACTTTGGTCAAAAAATCGTGACGTATATAATAGCAAGTGCAATTAAAGTGCCAACTGACTGCACTATTACGCATATTATTGGGTAACTGTTGCTTGGCTGTGAGAGGATAAAAAATGAAGATTGACTAACTATATTATGTGAATTTAGAAATTTAGTTTATTAAAATGATTTCGAAGTTTAGATCTAAATATACATGTTAACGTTCCAAAAGTTCCATAAAGTTCTCTGTCCTGTACAATACTCTGGCTTTTTAAATAGGAGACCCAGTTACACCCTATGCAGACAGAGCCTGTGGGAAATATTGGGTGCGGCGCAAATGAGCGGAGGGTGCGGAGCTAACGGTCATTTTTGAATTTAAAATTGGGATATTTCTGAAACTAAGCCGTTTTGGGACTTCAAATATACCAAGATATGTGTATTTGACACCAAATATCAATAAAATTGTGAAAATAGTAGTGCAATTCATTTTAATACTGCGTCCCCAGCATTCATAAAAAATGGTGTTCAAGATGCACTACCCATGCAAATTATTTTTGCATCTTGGAAGCCAGACAGTATCTGTGTGATTTTATAAAAATTTGGAAATGTTCTTCAGATATGAGCCCCTCTAAATATTGGGTGCGGAGCTACGTTTATGGAGCTGCTCCGCACCCAATATTTAGAGGGGCTCATATCTGAAGAACATTTCCGAATTTTTATAAAATCACACAGATACTGCCTGGCTTCCAAGATGCAAAAATAATTTGTATAGATAGTGCACCTTGAACACCATTTTTTATGAATGGTGGGGACTCAGTATTAAAAGGATAATTTCAAAATATATAGGTCTGGGAAAGGTTTAAGGCACACTGCGTCGCTATAGAATGAATTGCGCTACTATTTTCACAATTGTATTGATATTTGGTGTCAAATACACATATCTTGGTATATTTGAAGTCCCAAAACGGCTTAGTTTCAGAAATATCCCAAATTTAAATTCAAAAATAACCGTTAGCTCCGCACCCTCCGCTCATTTGCTCCGCACCCAATATTTCCCACAGGCTCTGTCTGCATAGGGTGAGTTAACTCCGCCTCTTTTACCATATATGGCGGAGGAGGGAACAACATATCAAATGGCCTCTTAAGGTTAACCCTTTAATTCCCATAGATAACTGAACTATGTAATAATATTACCAATTTCGACCACTAGTAATCATCCTGCCGACGGTATAATTTCATTTCCATATATTTGAAAGAATACCGATCCTTTGCAATCTCAACATTGTCAACATTAGAAAGATTGCCTGTCCATGGACCCCAGTATATACAACTGGAGTTTTTAAAACAAGTGGGACCAGTAGAATAATGTCCAAAGAGGTTTGAACCAGTGAGGTCTGAATCTGTACAGTCATCATACCAATATGCCCCACTCCTTTCTTTAGCGCAATTGCCTGAATAATTATCATTATCTCTGTCTTTAGTACTAAATCGGATACCGTCGTGTTTCATCAACCCATCACCCGCCAACTTAAGATCATAGTAATAGCTGCCACGGCCATAGTCGCTTAGTGTGAGTGTGTAATTCTTCTCCTCGGAATCAATATCAAATCCAGAATAGATAGCATATCTGGTTTCTAAATCCCATGTTGTTAACTGAACTCGTAATTCATAACGTTGCTGACGTAAAATAGCAATAAGATTTTCAAACCCTATGAAGTACTCGCCATGTGCATCACCGAACCCATTTTTGTATTCTTCCCAAGTTCGATCAAAGCTTACAGATCCGTCAAACCTGTGTGCAATTATCAACCCGCGGTCTTTACAGAGAGCTTTGAAGCTGCGACCATTTACTGTTTCAATGTCAGCAAGAAAGAAGTCATCATGATAATCAAATCTGCTGGCACAGTCACGATAAACTGCAAATGCATAATCGAGAAATGTGTTTGAAGGATTATATGCATAAGGTTTCATTGGCCTTATTCAGATTGAGATGCTCATAAGAGCGCAATACGCCTTTGCAATGTGATAATTATTTTTATTTGTTATGGTACCTTTCCTAGTGATATATTCAATCATGTCCGGTTGGTACCAAAAAATATTGTTATTTGCAATGTACAACAATAGTACAATAACGTCATTTCAAACGGCCCAAGGTCCAATATTTCACTATTTTGCCCGCAGAAATGACGTTATTACTATTATTACCACCGTTAATGCCCAGGGCTGAAATAGCAAATTTGAAATAGTAGATAATCTTACACACTGAACGATATCACTTTTCCCGGGAAAACATAGCCGGGCGGATAATGTCATTATTGCCCGACTAAAGTCATTAACGCCCGACACAATATTGCTCACGTCAATATTGCAATTTAAATGCCTTCTCAACTAGTACTAAAACCCCTAGAACAGGCCCTGCAAGGTGGTAATAATATGTTTTAACAACTAATTTATCTCAGAAATTGACAACTGACATAAGAAATAGTTGATGTGAGGATAAGAGGCAATTTGTGGTATAGAAACGATACTAGAAGTCATACCTGATTCTTGTTTGGTATCTTCCAACGCCTTTTTTACGTTTCGAACTTCGACGTTGGTAGCATTTAAACCACCTTTTAGATCATTTAGCTTTAAGTTCAAAGATTTCTTTAATGATGCGAGTGATACTTTAGGCCTTGCTGATGTTTGGTACAACGTATGGATAAAAACGACCGTAATGCCTAAGATTACTTTATGCCACATGTTCCTTCCTATTCCGTCTGCTTTAATATGCAAGTATCGTCACTCTCAACGAGTGACAAATTCTATCGTCTTTTAAATATCAATAAGCTTCAATTGAAGTCAGACTTGCCAACCTGAAATGAAAAATTTTCGGGAGATTTAAAAAAATTGCGGTACTTTTACGGGAGTTTATTTCAAAATCCGGTAGTTTTTGCGGGAGTTTTTTGAAAAAAAAGCGGGAGTTTTTACGGGAGATTTTGAAAAAACGGGAGTTTTTACGGGAGATTTTTTAGAAAAGGTATTTTTCGCGGTAAATTCATTTAAAAAACGTGACTTTTTTTACGGAAGATTTCAGAAAAACGTGAGTTTTTGCGGGAGGTTCTGAAAAAAGGGAGTTTTTACGGTAGATTTTTAAAAAACGGGTGTTTTTACGGTAGATTTCTGAAAAAACTGGAGTTTTTACGGTAGATTTCTGAAAAAACTGGAGTTTTTACGTTAGATTTCTGAAAAAACTGGAGTTTTTACGGTAGATTTTGAAAAAACGGGAGTTTTTACGGTAGATTTCTGAAAAAAGGAAGTTTTCACTAAAGATTTTGAAAAAAACGGGAGTTCTTACGGTAGATTTTGAAAGAACGGGAGTTTTTACGGTAGATTTCGGAAAAACGGGAGTTCTTACGGTAGGTTTCTGAAAAACGGGTGTTTTTACGGTAGATTTTGAAAAAACGTGAGTTTTTACGGTAGATTTCTGAAAAAACGGGAGTTTTTACGGTAGATTTTGAAAAAACGGGATTTCATCAAGCGATTTAATTGGTTGAAATTATTATGACGCATGCGCAGTTAATAAATTAATTAGAACTTATAATCCAAGATAGATGTCACTTACGTTCATTATTTCACAGCAGTCCCTACCCATAATGCGCCTTATATTGCGGGAATATTTTGTTTAGCGCCATATAAAAACAAAATGTATTCTCCCGACAGAAGTATGACAGAATATGAACTGGCCCTCGTTTGTGGACATTTGGTGGGCAAACTTATACCGAACTGATCGCAGAAAATCAATTTGAATCATGGGAATGAATTACTTTTAAGTTATTTATGAAAGTATCGATAGTGAACCATGGGAGCCAATCCTTCTTGGAGTAAAAGAAAAAAGCGTGCCTGCAATAATCAAGGTCACAAATTTGTCAAATTCCTTTTAAAAACGGTAGATTTCGACAGCAAAAAACTGAGATTTTACGGGAGTTATACCAAGAATACGGGAGATTTTACGGAGAGTTATACCAGAAAAAGGGAGATTTTACGGGAGTTTTACCAATACGGGAGATTTTACGGGAGTTATACCAGAATACGGGAGATTTTACGGGAGATTTCAGCAAAAATACGGGAGATTTTACGGCCATATTTTTTTAAAAAATTACGGAAGATTTTAGTAGAAATACGGTACGGGAGTTTACGGGAGTTTTTACGGGAGAAAACGGTACGGGAGTTTGGTATTTTTTACGGAAAAACAAAAACATTACGGGAGATTCCCGTAAAAAAACGGGAGGTTGGCAAGTCTGGAAGTGCCTCAGAAAAAAATGAACATATAAATTGTCATTTAACGCCCATTTAATAAAAATGTTTACTTTTAGCTCATAGGAAACAATGGATGATCGAGCAAAGAAAATAATTCAAAGCATTATTCCTCATTACAATGCAATGCATGCAAATGATGAAATGTCACCACTTGATTGCACACAGAATTAAGAGTGGAAACGTAACTGAGTGTCTTTCAATTCGTTGCATAACCAACATGGTACGATGTCTATAAACACCTATGTGTCAGTATGTGATCACTCTATAAATTCTATCAAGCTGGCAAAGTTATGAAGATGTAAAATCATTTTCATGAAACTGAATGCTCTATCTACTACACGTAGTATATACTTAATTACACTGGCTTATAATTTTTTTATGTCAAGTATTGGTAATCTTTTCGAATTAACTAGTTTTCTTCAAAATGTATTGTAATGGTATTCAAGTAGTGGGGGTATGAGACATTGTTTCTACACATTAGGTCATAGTTTTGGATATTTGGGGTTTATTTTCCTTGTGACATAAGAAACTTTGTTACAGACGTTAAAAGTCAACATCGAACACTGGTGTGAACATTTATATGGTCATTTACATCTCAGAAGCTTCAATCTTTGCTACAGAGGTTCCTTTTAAATCTGCCAAATACTCAAACAAAACAAATGTTATATTTATTATTATACTTGTCATGGCAATTTATTCCAATGAATTAATATTCAAATACTTCTTGATTACTTGAACAGATTCTTTTTGCCAATATTATACAAATTCAAAACTATCACAATAAATCTGGGGGACATGTTTAGTACATTTGTCAAATAAAATAAATACCAAACACCTTATTGTATATAAATAAAATATACTGGGTGTTTACTAATGATTAATAAATAATAAAAAACCTTACACAGTGTACATGTTTACAATCATTAGACTAAAATAAATAACAAATCTAGTTATTGTTTCAAATATTGCTATGCCTAGCACTAGTAGCTTTATCACTGGCAACAGCGTAGTTTTAAGGTTAACAAAAAGTTGCCCTGGATCCAGGAAAAAGCAAGGCATAACATAAGCCAAGGGAATATTACCATCGTATTCACTGTAAAAAGCGCTTAACCACTATAAGCACCCCTTTTACTTTATTTCTTGGTATTACGTTATGGTATGAGACATAATCTTCAGTTTTAGTGCAGAAACGTCTTCAAAATACATATAGCTCAGATATATCACACATGGCGCCAGTACAGATTTAAGCATTATTTACCTAAATATGGTACATGTTCCATAGATAATTCAATTAACTTCATTAAGTGGACTGTTCTTTTTGTAAATAGTCTCGAGGATGCCACCTGATTTAACATTCTCTGCTTTGTTAGAAAACCAAGAGGCTGTGACATACCAGTGAGCAACAATACAAATACAATCTGAGTTGTCATATTGAAATGAAATAAGCTAACACTTTACATTAAAGATACTTAACATAGCAAACATCATTGGCTTTCACAATTTTACAAAACTAATAACTTGATTGTAGTGGCATTTTGGGTTATTACAAATATCATAAAAAACATCCATAATGCGAGTCGGGAATACTTCTTTATGGTTAACTAAACTGACCATATACAAGTAATGCAGATTATAACCAATAATATAAAACTACCCTGAACATAATGATCTGTAAATTATGGCATTGTATACTACAACATCTTATATGACTTAGCATCAAAGAAAACTAGTTCCAACATCACAATAATAATTAATGTCAATAAATTAAGATTAAAATGTACATGTGGTATTGAACTATCGTTTTCCTAATAATTGTTTCCTCTGTTGTTCTAAAAGTCCTTCTAGATGATCTGCACGCTTGACAGCAGCCTGGTATTGCTGCCTGAGTTGTTGCACCACATCTTCCTTCTTAACTATAGCTTGCTTAACCCTGAAAAGAGAAACATACGATTTTTTCATTTTGCCATTTGATTGAAGTTTGAATTAAGACAAAATAGGAAGGTTTGCATATTGTATTAGGTAAGAAGGTATCTAAGAATTACAAAATCAGCTGAATATTTTTGTTCTATGATTAACTTTTACAGATTATCTATTCTTCATTTTAAGTTGACAAGCGATATAAATATTTTGGAAAAGAAAGTATGGACCAATAGAGGTGATTTGTGTGATACTTTCCTATGTGGTTATGAGTAAGTTTATAGTCAATGACGTAACTTCTTGTGTGAAAGCTATGGCAGCCTACTGTGAATGAGCACTGAATTTTTAAATAAATTTAATTAATTTTTCCATGTTTTACAAAATATGGAGAGTATAAATATGGTTAAAGCTACAATATCAAGAGAGAAATGGATGTGGCTTGTAATAAATATTCCTCTTCTTCTATTGCCAAAAATCTACTCCAAAACTCTCTTGACCAATCAAAGATCAACTCCTTAAACTATTGTCAAATCAGAAATCACAGTATTAATCAATCATATCTCACCTCTTATGCACCTCCTCCATCTCCTCTTCTTTGGCTTTCTGCACTATTTCCACCTCAGATTTGGCCCTCTCCTTCTCTAGTCTGCAATATACAAGTTAATTCAAATACAAATACACAGTGTACATCAAGGATCTAAATTGCAGTTTGAGAGAAACCAATTGTATTTTGTTCAATGAACTATGTGCTATCAGTGTAATATTCATAAGAATGGCAACCCTATTCCCAATTAATATATGAATTCGTACCTATGCCTAGCTTTCATTTCAGACATTTCATTCTTTAGACGTTTATTTTCCTCTTCTGTTGCGACAATTCTATCAGCAAATTCTTGGCGTATTATGTCTGCCACTCGGTCCCTCTCTCCATGGAGCTTCTCAGACATCTGAAATAGAAGAGTTGGAGGTGTTTTAACTCTAATGCAGGCAAGGGGGGTCAACAGTGGTTTTTTCCATGTTCAAGTACTTTTTAGAGTTGTAATAAAAGTACCATGGTTACAGTGCTCACATGGTGAAAATGCATTTTTCTACATCAAATTTCTTTTGAGATGCCTCTGATGGGACAACTGAAGACTTTATAGAGATGGAATTTAAAAGTGAAACCATTTGAAGAGTTGTAGAGGTTTACAAATGAGCCATGAATGAGTTGACAAAATGGAGGTACTGCCTAACTTCAAGATCGGTAAGATCTTTTGTTTCTTCCATTTAAACCTACATATTAAGTCAAGTTTCAGATTATAGTTTGGCTCAAAGTTAGATAATAAAGTCTAGTTTAACATGTATATTTGGTATATATTTAGACAAGACATTTGGTGAAGCAGTTGCAGAAGCAGTTTCTTTCAGAGTGAAAATGTTTAGTCTTGATTACATGGTCTATTTTGCATCAGAGGCTTACATCTGTGTCATCTTGCAAAAAATAAATATGGTTTGAATATAAATATAGATACCTCTCTTATGTCTCTAATTTCCTGGTCTTTTTGTCTATCAAGCACCACGAGTCGTTTGTTTTCTCCCTCAACCTCTGTCAATTGTGCCTGGAAAAGAATTATTGGACAAATGTTCACAAATTGCTTTAACAGCCTGCTATATCCTTTTCTGTCAAAAAATTATAGTAGTAAATTTTATTGTACTCAACAATAGTAAGTGAGAATCTTCCAGCATTATTTCAGTCAAATTATACAGAATCACATCTCTGCAAATGTTTTGTTATATATTCATTTATTTTAAATAAAATCTTATTTCTGCAACATTTCTTGTATGTTTCTTACACAAACAGTATATACTCATTTCCCTTTTGCATGACAGGAGAGCACTGAAGCCATACAACCAGAGATGATAAAAAATACTTCATGCAACCTTTGAACTTTCCAAATATAGTAATATTACATTATCTTATTGCAAACAATGAATGATACAAAAATAACAAGGCATTAACATGTAAAATGTCACCAACTGCCATTTGTTACAGACCTCAAAAACCAAGCCCCTACTGCTGAACACCAGCCACTGAACAGCCTCCATAAAAATGTAGGAGACCATTACATTATGTCACCAGCCATACATTGTAACATTTTTTACCTTCATTGCATTATATTTCTCCAGGGCTGTCCTCTCAGACCTCTCAAGTTCAACCATCTCATTCTCGTACTTGTCTCGTATACGTCTATAAACATGAAGTTTTATTCATAAAAATCATGTCAAAACTTACATTATATTCCCAAGTGGTAAGACTATACGAGGAGTGATCATAAAGTTCTAATAATATCTATTTTTTTCAATATATTGTTTCCCCCTTGTATAATTGGACCAACCTTGGGAGGTCATCGCAAACGCCAGATAAGAGGGGCTCTGGGATACCAGAATGTTGGGAGGTAAGTTAATATGAGGGTATATCATCCAGGACATAAATGTAAAGGTTTAAAGGCACCAATTTTAATTCTTATAAAGATCATACATAGATCATTAAATTATAGAGTAAACACATGAATGTAGATTTAGGAATGTATTTTAACAATTGACTTACTTAATTCTGTTTTCAGCAGCTCTCTCACTCTCCTCTCTAGCAGACACATTGTCTTCTTCTAACCTCATGATCACCTTAAACAAAGCATTTAAGCAATCACTGTTCTGTTTCATATTAACATGTGCTATACACCCCCATATACACCCCCATAAGAGGCTGAGAAGCAAATGTAAGAATGTTATTGCATTCATTAATACCAAATAAAAAAAGTACTGTACTGTGTATTATAAACTGATTTTGAGTTAAAGTAATCCAAAGTGTAGATCTATTGACTTTTAAAGTGAGTTTACCATTTCAATTTCTTTATCACGATCTTTTCGAACTTGTTCTTTTAATTCTCGCTCCTTCTGCAAGAGCCAGGTTTCTTGTTTCTTCTTGTAATTTTCCTCCCATGCATCTTTCTCGATAGCCAGCCTCTCTTTCAACTCTCTAGTCTCACTCTGAAACATACATTATTCTATATCTAAACACTCAATGTAGACATCAACAGAATGATCTCAAAATTCCCATTTTCAATGTATTCGCATAACCTTCACCAAATGGCAATCCTACAAACAAGGCATAGATACCTCATGTCTACGCTCCTGTTCTTCTCTAGCTTTTTCATATTCACTTTTCATTGCATCCACTGCACTACTATGACTGTTCTCTAGCTGGCGCTGGAGTTTGTCAATCTCGGCACGCTGACGTGAGGCCTGCTGGGCTAGGCGTTCTTTCTCTTCCTGTACCTCTTGGTATAGGCGGCGCCTCTGTTGCTGGAAAGCTTCCTCTTCTTGTTGCATTTGTTTCTCATAGCTAGAAATGGATAAAATCAGTGTATCTAAGCTGGACTAAATGTTGCCATGTTCACCCCAAAGACCATTTGCTTCAATTCATGCAAGATGTTCATTATGTGTATAGCATCAGGAAATCATCCCAAATGAAATGTACAGCCAAATAGCAGTCGAAACCTGTGGTTTTGAGGAGTGTGTCCTAACCAATAACAAAGCATTAAATATGCAAGATTTATCAACATATGAAGAAAACTAGGACAACAAGGTAATTCTTCCAATGTATATTTGCCATCGTTGCAAAAGCAGATGGGAAAGAAACACTCAAAAAGAAAAGTGTGAAACTGATAACTACTGGCCAGTCAAGTGAAAATGCTGATAAATTTTCCTATTGTTGAGAACCATGATTTTTATCTTAATAGCCAAATGAAAATACATCGTAATATCAACTCAAATGAGGGTATAATTTCTGTAATATATCTGTATTATAAAATGAATGAATAAATCAAACAATTGTTAAATCATGTGCTTTTATGGCGTCAATTGTCTGTTATTTTAACAAAACAGCTCATTAAGCATAACATAATGACTGCTTAAATATAATTCACCAATGAAAATTACTTAAAGTAGTATAAACATTATTTTTTAACCATAACATATGTGTTTATAATGTAGGCTTTAAAACATTTAAGACACACAGTAATATTTACAGACACTTTATAAAATAACAGATAACATATTTCACATTTTCAATATCCCTTTGTTAACAATTGTTGTTGGATCAAATAATTACATTTTGTATTGTATTGTAGTAATGATTTTGTTTACCACAAATAAAAGTGAGCAATAAAAGATATATGATACATCTTGGGTATATATCCAACAGTTTAGGACATGTGCTACACTGTTGGACCAATAGTATACTTACGTTTTACGAGCTAATTCCCGTTCTCTCGAGCAGGCTGCTTCTTTTTCTTCTGCGAGTTGATCCCTCAGATCTTCCGTCATTTTGATGTACCTGAATAATACAGGGTAACACATTATAACTTTAAATGCCAGATTGAATAATATGAATAATACCCCCCAGCCCCAGTCATAAATCATGAAATGTTGAAAGTTGAATTTACAAGCTCAGTGATTTCCTAAACATTTTCACTGATGGCTCAAAGATGGCTCAGTCACATAAAACTAGAAAATGGCATCACAACAAAGTAGCAAATCCCAATGAACAAAATATCATTGCTTAAATATTAAAGTATATTTCCCAGTAAATCATTTACAACAAGATAATTCAATGGATGGATGGATGTGGATGGAAAATGGATGGATGTGGATGGATGGATGGGATGGGTGGGATATGGGATGGATGGGATATGGGATGGATGGGATGGATGGGATATGGGATGGATGGGATATGGGATGGATGGGATGGATGGGATATGGGATGGATGGGATATGGGATGGATGGGATGGATGGATGGGATGGATGGATGGATGGGATGGATGGGATGGGACGGATGGGATGGATGGATGGGAAAAACTGACAGATGCAAAATCACAATTCCAAAGTTCTCCAAGTTTATCTACCTTTATACAAAATGTGCCACTTGATTTAAGAAATGCATCATTACAGTGCACTTACCTTCCACCTGCCCTCTCATCAGCTTCTAACAGCTCAGCCTCATGGATGGACTTCAACTTCTTGATTTCTGTCTTGTGTTTGCTAATGAGTCTCTGAATCTCAGGCTCCAAACCCTTCACCGTCATCTCCTAAAATTGCACCAAGGGTCACTCTTTAAATGCGAAGAACATTGGCAGAGAGGAATTAATTAACATTGTACAGAAATGTAAAATGATTAGGTATATATATCAAGTAAAAACAATTGGCATAAAGTTTCTGCTGTAACCAACTCTTTATAATACTATTTTGACTTCATTTTTATGAATGTGGCAAACCACATTAAATTTCTAAATCTTCAATACTTTCCCTATTTTACAAAAGTCATGAATCTTTTTGTATTGAAGTATTTGTGGTGATACAGAATCCACATTGTTGAAATGCTTAATACACATTTGTAACTGATACTCATTATATCAAATGAAGTGACGGTTAATGTACCAATGTAAACCACACAATTGTAATCTTTATGGCCAATAAATAGCAATAATTCCAACATGACTGTATTCACACATCCTATAAACTGTGAACAAAGTCAATATTTCAACCGGGTTATAATCGCGAGCAATGCCCCTGTTAATACGAGTAATATGTGACATCATTACGGCGGTACGTAGTAATGGCTGACCATAATGAATATTTGAAACATTTTGGAGGATTTTCATGTTCGAATCATAATACAGACCTCAGAGCAGGTGTAATATCATCAAATACACCCCTTAGGGCTAGGCACAAAACCTTTCAAAAAAGGTTTGTGCCAAGCCCTGTGGGGTGTATTCAACAATATAACCCCTGCTCTTTGGTCTATATTTCTTAAATAAAAAATTAATTGGTTTTATGCGTGTTTTATGGGTTTTGAGTCAATTTTAATGTTACGATTGTCAGAATTAAAGGTAAATAAAACTGGTTGCTAGGTAGTAGAGAAGAATGTAGGTCAACGCGCATATGCGCAGAGGACTGCCATTTTCCATCCATATTTGATTCAAGCTGGAGGAAAGTTGAGTGAATCTTGCCCACCATCGCTCCCCAATTACCAGTTTACCACCCATGAATCAATCCCCCAACTAAGGTGAGAAATGGTAAAAGAGATGTTGTTAGTGATACGTGAAGGTAAGCAACTAAAGTAATCTCTATTGTATTGATCAGATGAATTCTTCTATTTTCAGAGATAACCGAACTAATTAAAAACAAAAACCATAAAATGTGTAACAGTAATGACAACAACCTAAAAACACACATAGACCAAAAATACAAATAAATCATTTTGCACAAACCTTAATCTTTTTAGTTTTTTCATCTATCCATTTTTCTCTCCTAAGTTTCTCAGCTGCTGCATGTACTTCTTTGATCTTCTGAAGTTCAATACCATGACTGGAGCAGAAATAACCTTATAAGTAATCTGCTAGCAAGATCACAATCTCTCACCAGATCATGCTCTTTATAGGATTTGATCAATGAGAGCATGCATCTATGATATGTATATTGATTATGTAAGCACATAAGCACAACTGCTTAAGGAGAAACCTCAAATTTATTGAAAACAGTAGTAAAAGTCAAAATACATGTACACCATTATACTAACCCCTAAATGATAAAAATTGTCCTCAACATAACATCTAATGTTCCAATGTATATACTGTAGATTATAAGATAAAATAATAAAAAAAAACTTATTTCATTTATGTGTTCATTTATATTTGCATGCTTGCTTAAAATTCGGGATTGAACATACAAAAACTACAGTATCTCCTGGTATTTATGCAGTGCAGTCAACAATTGATAAAGCTGAATTTAGATTTCAGATAATCAAAGACTTTATATTCATAGAGAATGACTGTGGTGACAAAGCATGTTAATAACGAGAATCTAACTTACTTTTCTTCCTTGTTTTTCATTGTTTCAGAGTATTTCTTCTCAATCTGCTTCAATTCTTTCACCAGGGACTCACATTTCTCTCCTAGTGTCTTCTTGTCATCTATTAACTGTAATATAATGTTTAAATGTACCGGGGCAAGATCCAGGTTATTGAGTGAATTATGGCACACTCACTGATTGGAATGTTGAAGGAAACTAGGACGGAACACCAAAATCAAAATTTCTATGAATCTCAGAGGCAACTAAGTTTTAATAATTCAATAAAAATGTAGAATATATTTGCTAATTCTATATGTCCCTTGTTTCACCCCTAAATCAGCCACTGCAATGGTTTAATCTAGATTTTATCGTTTTATAGATCACAGGTCTTGAGAGTGTCAAAGAACAATTCTGAATGATTAAAAAGAACTTTTTCATATAAATTGACCCTAAAATCATACCTGGTCTATAAATCCTAGATGGCGTTTTATTGTTTCCTCATATTCCTCTTTTTGAACATTTAGCCTCTTTTTCATTTCTTTCTCAGTTTCTTTGGCATGACGTACAGTTAGCTCCCTCTGCTGGTTCTGAAACACATGAAACATTTTCTATGAGCACCAAAATGAAACCATGGAAGAGTGGAATATGGTCAAAGCATGGCACTACCTGAGCTCTAGATCTAATTATTATTGGTCAGAAGTTTTCCATGCAGGGAAATGTGGATATGACTCAATACGAATAGAAGTTTAAATTTGTGTGGCCAATGTTGACGGACGGACGGACCAACGGACGGACGGACGCCTGGTCGACCTCCACTTCTTGTGAAGTTACAGCAAAAATTGTAAAATGATGTGTAAAGGCCGCCATTTTTCAAGATGGCTGCCATGTGTTTCTTAAGTATCTACATTCCTAGCTTCGGCTTTCAAGCAGAATTTCTCAATAGGGCAAATGAGTACAAAATATGAACAAAATCTGACCAAAGGTATTTGAGTTATGTTTACACATAGATAAATTCAGGCAGACATTTGGATATCTACACCACTTAGGTAGATTGTAATTTGATTTGATTTTCATTGTCATATCCATTATCTAATTATTTAAAGGTTTTAACCCATATCAGACAGATGTGCGTAAAGATGGAGGCATTCCGTATATCCTCGCCGTTTGATGAATAAACCTTAAATTATCTAACCAGTGTTCTACCCAGCATTTTTTCTCAAGTGAATGCAAAATTCTCATTTTCACAATTCAGACCAAAACTGGTAAAAATATGCCCATTTTTCGTGACTTTTCTCATTTCCAAGTGGGTGCAAATGGATTTTCAGGTGGGTGCAAGCCTGTTTTTAAAATCTCAGGTAGGTGCTGCGCCTACTTACTATAATGCTGGGGAGATCACTGCTAACCATTCAATAAAATAAGTACAGCTAGTGTCTTTTGTACCTTATAGCCAAAGATAAGAGTTTTATACTTTTTCAAACTAGTGGGGGGAATTTGCTGGAAAATATTTCAATTGGTGATACAAGCAAATTTAATGGCTTAATCTGTTATTTATGTTATTAGGAAAAATTCCATCCCTGTGATCGATAAAACCGAACACTATTTCAAGAAAAATTCAAGATGGCCGCCACATAGGCATAATTTTGTACAAATAACACTCTAGATTCATATATAGAGACAAATATGGTTCAAAAATAATATTGATACAGTTGCAAAGCATGTTGTTTACATCTAGAAATATAGTCACATTCATTAATGATTTGAATTTGGACAAAATGACTTTATATAGGGATTCTACAAGGTTCTATTTTGGGAGGGCTCTTATATTGCAACAACTGAAGTCTGTACTTGTAAGTCCTGACTTTTTACAACTCTTATTATGCTACTAGGAAAAATTCCATCCCTGTGATTGATAAAACCGAACACTATTTCAAGAAAAATCCAAAATGGCCGCCATATACCAATAATTTGGTACAAATAACACTGTAGATTCATATATAGAGAAAAATGTGGTTTCAATATAATACTGTTTCAGTAGTAAAGCATGTTGTTAACATCTACAAATACAGTCACATTCATTAATTATTTGAATTTGGACAAAATGACTTTATATAGGGATTCTACAAGGTTCTATTTTGGGAGTGCTCTTATTTTGCAACAACTGAAGTGAAGAACCTGTTTTCTTGAATAAGATAATATTTCACACATCATTCAATCTAATATTTCAAGTTCAAGTTAAATTATTGTCTTACAAGTACAAAATAGCCTTTGAAGGAGTTCCACATGGTTCCTTTTTACTCTGTTATAATCACAATCTCATATATACTGTCATAAAATGTTAATCACTTGTACAGAATAGCATGTGCAATTGCACAAGTCTGTACATGTAAGTCCTGACCTTTTACATCTGTTAGTATGCTAATAGGAAAATTCCATCCCTGTAATCGATAAAACCGAACACTATTTCAAGAAAAATTCAAAATGGCTGCCATATACGCTAATTTGGTACAAATAACACTGTAGATTCACATATAGAGATAAATGTGGTTTAAAAATAATACTGTTTCAGTAGTAAAGCATATTGTTTACATCTAGTATTTTGGGAGGGCTCTTATTTTGCAACAACTTAAGTGAATGGACCTGTTTTCTTGAATAAAGATAATATTTCACACATCATTCAATCTAATATTTCAGGTTCAAATTCAATTATTGTCTTCCAAATACAAAATAGCCTTTGAAGGAGTTCCACATGGAGCTTTTTACTCTATTATAATTTCAATCTCATAAATACTGTCACAAAATGTAAGTCCTGACAAGTGCATACAGAACATGGCTTTTTATATGAACATTGTACAAGAGCTTGGCAGGCTTTGGAGGACTGTGTCTGGGTTGTCCACAGTGGGGTAACAGTTTCATTATTGTCCCATCCCCAGTTGATGTAGTCGTAAAGGCCAGGTGGTGAAGCATTTAGCATTTGTCCCCAAACTACACCAGCCTGGTAAGATGTTCTTTTAATGTGCTGTTCCAAGGCATATGAGTTGGTGGAATTCTTTCGATTACTCTTCCTTTTTTGCAAAACAAGTACTTTCTGGATGTATTTATATCAATTGTTATACTTGTTCTGTCATATAACTATTTTCTGTGATATTTGACAGATCTTTCATAATGTTGATGAATGCCTCTGTCACACTAGTAAACCTTTCTCACAGTTTCCAGTCCTGGAAATGTCCGTGGAAAGCTGAGGTTGTGTCACTTTCTGTGAATGAGTGGAAAGCTGGGAAAGCCATGCCTTACCTTTTGTTTGAAACCAGTTTTTAGCTTTTCATGTTGTAAGTTCAATGTTATTTTGTTTTGTGTTCCATATATGGAAAACACTAATTTCTAATTAGCAAATTCCTACCCAAATTTAAAATTACCTTCCCCCCAATCGTTTCCTTCAACTTTACTGAGGAGTGATGACATACCACATATTTGATGTTCACAATTAAAGGACACGGTGTCCAACCCAAAATGCTCTTACATGCACGATTGAGCGTTTCATTACTGAAACTAAACAAAGAAACACTCTGGAGTATGGCACTTGTGTGTTGAACCGTGATACTTGGCAGATCAATGTAACTTTGGATGATCTTTAAAATGATATATGACACACACTATGGGGACATTGGTATATGTCTGCCTAGGGGGGGGGGGCATACTTTCGGGACACCCTGTACAAGTTTGTGATCTACTACTTTGACAGAAAGATAGACAATTTCATATAAATACTAGTTTAATTCATAATTTGTGGCCAAATTTGTTCAATCTACACTACTGAGCTTTGATCAAGCAAATAACAGTTTACCACCAGAAGTTGAATAAATAAGATCTTTGCTCATGGTATTGTTCATCGAATGGTACATAATATTTCACCATAACGTATGATATGTAAGAGAAACTAGTGACACAATACTAGTCATAGTGGGATCCCACTATAACACAATACTAGTCATAGTGGGATCTTCATTAGCCCTGTTTCCTCGTGAATGAAACATTCCGTTGTGCATGTAAGAGCGTTTGGGTTGGACACCGTGAAAGAATGCATAAGATATGTTTGTGGGATGAATTAATATTTTACACTTTATCAAAATTCTACAAATAATGGTAGATTTTTGTTGGATTAAATTTTGCAAATTCTTACTCAAATTTCAAATCACTTTCCTGCTTGGTATTTCATTCCTCCTTACTGAAGAGTCTAGGAAAACCACATATTTCATATTCATACTCAATAATGCATAGAATACATTGATGGACTGTGTTAATGGTTTTAACCTCAACTAAAATTTAATGAATAATTGAATTTCCTTTAGGTGGTCATGATGCCGCTGTAATAGTCTGTAATTGTGAATACATGGTAAATGTCTGTACTCGATAAACCATTTATTTGTGAAAATCCTTCAATTATTTAGGCTACGGTCATTTATACAAACTAATTTGATATGCAGCAGAGCATAAAAATCTGAAATTTAAGAGCAGTCCTACCCATTATACTTAATTCAAAGGAGTAGGGTTATGCAAACTTATAAATGAACAAAATAAGAGGGGTACCAGAAATAAACCTTGTTGAACTCCCATAAAATTATTTATTTTGACTTAAGCTCATGACATGTATTATGTGGTGTTCCAATTAGTGAATTTAGTCCTGAAAAAACAATTTAAACTTTATATTACAGCTGTATTTGCCAAATCAGAGCTAAATATATTATCCGAGCTATAGTGTGTCGGCCATCTTGGATTTTGGGGAGAAAAAGTTAAAAAATTCATCGATCACAGGGACAGATTTTTTTAAAAAGGTTTGAAGTAGTAGAAAAGCAAAAGTTTATACTTGTATCACCATCTGAAATATTCTGCCAAATATATAAGGGTTATGTACTGGGAGGTTTTGGATACAGGGTTTATCCCTAGGGAAATATGTGTATATCCCGAGGGACCGCAGGGACCGAGGGATATACACATATTTCCCGAGGGATAAACCCTGTATCCAAAACCAACCGTACATAACAGGTGTATTCCATACCTACTAAGGTTCTAGGTATATTCTAATATTTCAATATTGTCTTATAAAATTCCAATATTCAAAAGTAGCATTTTCGTAGTCTTACCAGATCAATGAATTGATAAAATATACAACGTTCATAAGTTTGAAATATAATCTTTATTTCAATAACACTAACAGCAACTTTACATGTTTGAAATAAATTGGTGGTGAACATTTAACAATATCTTGAGTTTTTATCAACTCAAACAGAAGTAGGCCTATTTAAAGTCCAATAATCCTGTTTATATAGTCAGAATTTGATGATTCTGTTAGTTTTCTTGTGAACTCTCACTCTCACTCTCTATTATCCTGCGACGCTTAACACTTGATCTTGAGATCTTTGTCCCACTAATTCCAGTAGTTTGGAAGTTAAAATTGAAAACCCCACCTGTGATGTTACCAAAATGAAATGGCAATGGTGGTGGTGCTGATGCATTCTCAGTGAGACATGTACTTGAAGAAGCTACAGCTGAATAATTTTCCAGTGAATGTTTGTTACCTAGGGGCTGTCTG